TTATCATGTCTATCTCTGCCTCAACACATTTCGATTTTTATTGCAATTTGAAGGCATTTTAATGCCATTTTACCATTTTTATCCCTGCCTGGGTAATCGTTTGAAATATTGCAAGACACCGCAAGCAGCAAAAACAGTGCTGACCGGTGAGAAAAAAAAGAGATAGACCAGCAAAGGCTAAACCTGCTTTGCTAATACAATAATTGAATTCTATTTTTCTTTTTCTCGATTCATTCTTTGAATTACTATTTTATGTTCTTTTGAATTGCTTCTTACTTATTGTGTGGTTTTTTAATTTATTTAAATTTATTTTTCTTATACTAAATTAACCTTTATACGAATAAAACTTGTTTCTTCTACTGATAAAATTTGCATTTTTACTGACCAAATTTGAATTTGTTACTGATACCTATATATAAAAAAACTGACCATTTTATAATTAATTACTGACCACTTTAGTACTGACCATTTCAATATTCACACTGATAATTTCTAAATTTTTTTACTGACCATTTCATTTATTTTACTGACCAAAAATTATGTTCCTATTGAATATTGTTCGGTATTTGACTACATATTATTAAGGTTAAACAAAATGTTAAAAGGGAAGTAACTGGCAAGATGAATAATGTTCGAAACCAGATCACCATGCTAGTATTTTTCATGTTATGTACAGCACTGAAAGAACAGAAGAAGCTGAGCTGAGAAACTAACTGATGTGTTGTTATATTGAAAGAAAAAACATTTATTGTATCCATCTTTCCTTATCGCAATACTTTATGCAAAAGACGAAAGAAAAATATTTGTTTTTACTACGCTATCTCTATTGACATCAAGACTCACAGGAACAACAACTCTGTAATAAGATGCTAAAGACTTGCTCGCACTTTTCCACGTTAAAAAATAAACGAAAAAACTTCAAATTACTTTTTTTTTCAAGTTCTTCCTTTGAAAATCATAGAAATTCCACTGAATCCTTCAACTCAAATTTACTTTCTAAGCTCTCTACAAGTGAAATTTTCAGATACTTCATTGATCTTTACCAAAGCTGCTCTTGCAATGTGAACTGTAAGGCAACATTCGAGCACTGTCAAAAACAAAAAGATCGAGATTCATGTGCTCATTCGAAATATCGACTGCAACATAAACACATGCCCGACGAATATGATGGTGATTTGGCTGTATCTTTTTCCGAACTCGTGCTATGTCATTTTTCAGCCATATAATTGATTGATCAAAATATCTCATTTCAAATAGACGGTTCTGTATACAACAATGACAACTATTTTACTGTCAAGCTCAAGGAGCATCATGTCTTTCATTGAAAATGTTCATCAAAATAATCAGTAATTTCACTCATGGAAGAAATCTTGAGTTAGTGTTTTGATCGGCGATTCACCTAAAGACAGCATGAAACACATTTTATAGAGTAAAGAATAAGCTCTTATTTCTTACAATTAAAAAACAATCAAGATAAATGATACATTTATACCTAATTTCCTTAGAAAAATCATATTTTCTGTAACAAAAAAAACTTTGAAAATTCAAATCAGTCGCGGATATTCTTTGTATTTCAGCAAAATCTCAAGATTAATAGTTCGAGATTCTCTTTTCTTTCTTCGACTAACGTTTCACGTTGTCTTGGAATTGTGTAGGATATTATAAACAATACATTTATATATTTCTAACAAAACACACCTCTCATAAAATTTAGAACTTGCCCAAAAAGTGGTGTAAATCCGATGGATTTATTGATTTGATTGACTTTTTTTCCGAATTATCTACAAAAAAGAATCTGATTAATACAGTTTTGATAAACTATATTATATTGATAAAGATGGCGCAAGCTGTGTCGCATCACAAACCATATTGAAATCACCAGCACAAACAGTTTGTGACGATAGAGAATTGCTTTTAATTACAACTTATCTTGCTTGGAAAGATTTCAATACTAACTGCAGTAGTTCGTAAGACGAATTCCTTCTTCTCGAACTGTTGATGGAAACCCTGTCAGGTTATTTGAGAAACTCACACACATCACCTTGTTCGATGACATATGAAGAGAGACGAAATCGAATTGACGATCAGGTCGATTGAAATTTCCATGGAAAATACGAACACTGTCTTGTTGCCATTCCGTTCAATACGGAAAAGTAGCATCAAAAGAAGGATCTGTTTGAACCTTCTTCATCTACTTGTCCATCTCCCTGAGTAGTGAATGGATTCGAAGTTTGGTCGTACAATAAAAACAAAAGTATCATTTAAACATTGTCAGTGATTTTGTTTCGAAGACGATTAACGCGCTTCGATTCTCATGAACTCATTTTATATTTACAACATAACTATCACTTGACAGAAATCTTCGTGTTAATTTCAAATACTCACTTGTTTCTATTATGTGATCATTCTAAATGACAAAATCGGGAAACATCAGTCTAATTCATTGATTCATGATTTTGTTATAAAGTTATACCATCTAAAATTATAGTTGTACCTTGAATGAACCAAACGGACTCAATATCACCTAGTTACATGAAAATAAGAGATGTGTAAAAGACTTGATTTTCTCACCATCGCATAGATCATAAAAGTTAATGTCTATCTATATTTTTTGACTATCACATAAGTAAACCTTTTATGAATGCTTTTCGTTGAAGCTTGTGAGAATACAGTATATTTGTTCCGTTAATCTGTGTAAATTAGTCCATGGCGAAAGAAATCGCAGATTCCATCTCTTTCCATGTTCTCATCAGCCGTCCGTCACATGTTACTCAACAGTAAACATGGAGACAGAAGTCTTGATCGTCTAGAAACAAAAAGCTCGTATCTTCATGCTTAGATTCACTAACATCATCTGAGAATAACTATCAGAGGATTGTTGATGTCAGTTCTTTTTGCAAGTCAGTTCTATCCATTGAAAGCACTTGATCAAAATTTTCATGGGTCTTCATTGAACATCATCGCAGAAATGAACGAAAATAATTGATTGTTATTTACATTGTCGTACGCACACATTTGTGCTGCTCTTTTCAACACAGTAAAAAATGTGAGTGTCGAGAAGACGTACACTCAGACTCTGTTTTTGTTTTGCAAAATTCACAAAAACATTAACAAAATTCCATTCTTTCATTGTTTTAGGGAATGAGAAGAAATGTTATCAACAATTCCGAAACGATAAATTTTAGAAATGACTCTAGATAATCGTAGCGAGTTTGAAGTTTTCAATGTAATTTTCATGGAAATTTCTTTTTGACTTAATGTTCTTTTTTCTTCAAAATTTCTTTGACAGACTATCACGATATTCTGTTCAAAATAGCAACCGAGATAAAAAGGGTGTGGGTGCTTGTGGCTATAGAAGTCGGTGTAGATATAAGTCTTCTCCTCACCAACCCACAATCACATCCTTAGAGATTGCGATAAAATCTAATTTATTTTTATTGAACTTATCACTTGTGAAAAATAGAAGTTTGTTAATTTATAAATATTGTACTAAGAAACGGATACTGTTGAATAATCTCTTCATTTGTTTCGAGGCCATCGTTGATTAATCCTGTCAAATCTGTTTTCAGTTGTTCTAATGAATTGGAATTGTAGAAATTCTTTGCTACTAGATACTTTGCCCAATATCCAGCTGCTAAATCTGCTTGTATGTTAGCATATTGATTATTAATTCTTTGCTTCAAGGCATAAATCTGATGAATTATTCTCTCTGGTGGAAATGCTAGGTTTAAAACTGAACCAGAAATGGATTTGGAAGCATGATAGATATTGGGATCACGATTCGGTGGCCAGGTCATAGTCACTCTGGAATTTGAATCAACTGCTATCCAATTATCAAAGAAAATAAATTGACGATTATTCAAAGATGGAATATCGGATATTTGGATGGATGATGGATTAACTTCTGATCCAGTAACAAAAAATCGAATGCTCGATGGAATTTCATTTAAAATAGCAAGTTGTTTGCCCCAATCAATATTTGTAGAGCTAGATATTTGGGATCGAGAGTAATAAGCAGGAATAATACCAATTAGCTCAATGTTTGTCACTTGATTAACAAGGGCTTTTATAAGATCTCTTTGTAATTTCATTTGCGCATTTGTACCAGCACCAGGTGAATCATCCCAGCATAAAATGTAGTAACGAATGCCAACTGAAGCTAATTGTTTTAACTTCAATTGAATTTTTTGCAATGATGTTTGAACATTATCAATCCATCCCGGTCGTAATCCGAAGACAATTGAAATATTCGAAGCCTTAGAAATAGTATCAGACCATTCTAGAATTTGCTGTGCATTCCATAGAGTCATTGTGAATGCATCATTTGCAGTTTCATGAGGACAGAAAATATAATAATTTAAACCATTACCCATCAGGGAAATCAAATTATCACGTTGTTGTTTCGAATAGAAATTGGCCTGACCTTGAACTGCATCCGAATTCGACCAATAAAATCCTTCGATTAACCCATTGATTACAGTACCCGGAGATATTGCCATTATGGGTACCGCCATTAAAATATAAACTAAAATTAGAAATTGAATATAATAATAGAAAAAATGAAAAAAGTTCTTACATAAAAAAATGAAATTTCTGTCTTTAATACCCATTGTTTGTGAAACTAGAAAGGTCGAAAGTATCTTCAATAAAAATAAACGAATTATTAATTTCAAGTAATTGTTAGTAAACATTATTCAAATATTAGCAGAGCTGAGTTTGGAGTGTTCTGCAGGAGATAAGATTCATCAAAAAAAAATACACAATATCTTCGTACCGAATGAAATGTAAATGTTTACTTCCTTATTTTTTGAGCTTATTCATTGCTCTGATATGCAGAACGAAAATTCCCATGTAGCGAGACTGAAGAAAGAAGCATGATCGAGTATAGCTAGTGTGCGAGAATATTAACTACAAGAAACTAGCATAATCACATGCTTTAGAAAACAACACTATTGATGGGAAGAAAATATTCAGTAACTGACAGTGATGCCGAACTTTCGGAATGAGCTTTAATATGAATTCAGTCAAGAAGAATTCCTTCTTAGACCGCTAGCCGACAGTTACGACGATCGTTTTTCGTCGTATTAAATCGTATGTTATCCACATAGACTACGTGTTCATCTTGTTCTCTCAAGTATTCATTATACACGATTGAATATTTTTATTTTTATGAATAAAACTAGGTCACGGTGCAAAAGTATCAGTAAAATTTCGACGCTACTCATAGATACAGGAAAGTATGTACTTTAAAAGTAATTCAGGAGCTAAAACTTAAAACTGTGTACTACTAAAAATATTTTGCAACCGATGTACCATTAAGAATACTTTCTTTCCTTGGTTTTGTGTTTGCTTTAATGATTCGAAATGAGATTAAAATTTTGAGCAAGTATGCAGTCTTGATTGACAAAAACAAGCTGTGAGACCTTAATCCAACTTCTACTTTATTTCTATAACTGTATCTCTCTCTTAACAACAGTGTAATGACTATATATACATACAGAGTGATAACATGGGCAAAAATCCATCGAGTGAAAAATCCCATAGATGGTAAACACGAAAAAGAAAATCTCATGAAACAACATAAAAGAAAGAAGAACAGAAGGAAAGGAAAAAATCCATCATATATTATATATGTGTGACAGGAAAGGCAAATTTCATGGCGCATGACTGAATAATAAGAAAAAACAAGAAGCACAAAAGTGTATATGTATAATCCCATAGGTAAAGTGGGGAACCCCCTCTGACTGCATATGAAGGAGATGCAGGTCATAACACAAATACTTTCTTCAAGGTCTGATGATTGGAAAAAATGCACATTCAATGTCGTAGACTACATTCTAACTGATATTATAAAAATGCATTTTAAAGTACATACTTTGCTCTGTCTACCAATGAAAAAATTAGACTTCTAGTACTTTTCGTTGACAGACACTAGGCAACGACATTTGTGCCGATATTTATGCATCGTAAATTATAAAAAACAATCTTAAAGAGATAAACAACTGACACTCATACCGATTTGAATGTACATGCTGTCAATGTCGATTAAGAAAGAAGAATGTATGGGCACAAAGAGAAAAAGAAATATGAGATAAAACACAAGAAAAAAACATAATTACGGTGTCCCATTGGTATACGATCGATCAATGTTTTTATTTTTGCTGTTATTATTTCTTTTACACTTATGTTTATTTGATACTACTAGTAGTTGACTTTAGACATATGAGAGAACAAAAAAGAAAATATATTGCTCGAAAACAACAACCAGGGATAAAAATTAACGAAAAAGTAAAGAAAAAGAACAAATGTGAGCACTGTTCAAGAGAAATACACGAGTTAAAGGAAAATATGGACCGCATTATGGAGGCACGAATGAAGAAACAGGATTTGCTACAAATTTTTCAAATAGGAATCATTATAGACTTGAAGAAGAAGTGAAATTTAACTAAATAAAACCTGTCTAAAATTATTAACTATCCAGGCTGAACAAGCACGATCGTAAACGATTGCATAGGGAGAAATACAACCAAATACATGACTCAGTATAACGATGCAGATTAGGGTAAGAGAGCGCTTGTGGATATTCATGTTACCTACACCCACACTCTCTTTTATTGATGGTTGAATTTAAAAATATGAAAAAAAAACTGACTTTCTTTTGATTATTTTTAGAAGTCTTGTAAAGAAATGAGCACATTGGACGAAAGGCAGAAATGACGATAAACAAGTTATTAGAAATTTTTAGAGAATATATTTCAAAATTGAAGTTTTTAAATAGTAATTATTTAATGTCTTTTCAAGTATCACCTAAAATTTCAGCTTCACCGTATTGAACAGCATCCCTCATACTATGTTGTAAAGTAATAAGTAGTCGATAGTTTCTAAAAGCAATCATATTCGAAAAATTTTGTTGAGACACATATATAGAGCTAGCAGAAACAGTTACAGGATCAATGTTCAACTCGAACCAAGATCAAGTGCTCCAACACGTGTTGCATTTGTTTCTTCAAGAGTTACTGTAATTGGATCACGACTTGGATAATCGTTTGCAGTTGCAAAGAGAAGAGCAACAGCCACCGAATCATTACTTATGGTAGGTGTTACATAAAAGCCAGTATTTACTCCAGGACTATTTAGAACGGCACCAGTGGTACCTTGAAATTCAAAATTAAGATATTTCGTACTTAATGAGCCATCAATAGCTGCTGGCGGCTCTTCAGCAAGGATCGAATATCTGCCGTTAGAAGCACCCGTGGATCCATCGACTGCAGTATTATATAAACTCACGATAGCATCATCTGATCTTGTTATTGAAACAATTGGTCGTGGAGTTGTTGTTGACGTTGAACTTGTAGAAGTAGTTGTAGCTACAAGTTCATCAAACTTGAGGTTATTTATTGCAAAGTCGAAACTATTACATCAAGAGTTATAATAAAGTAGTAGATTTCAAAACACTTTATAGCTACATATGTTTTTCGAACTCTTCTACAGCATGGAAGAAAACGAAAGAATTTTTTTCTTCTAGGAACCGATACGTAAAACTTTTCATAACTTAAACTACAGAAGTTTAAATTAAAATACATATACTAAGACAAAGAACAAATTCTGACAGAAAGTTTGTTTTAGAGGTCATTGGATTCTTTACTTACAGTTCACTACCTTAAGATGGAAGAAAAACCTAAATTTAGATTTGGAAAAAAGCATGAATTTCTAATTAGAAGCGACTTCTTTTTATTCTCTTCAGTGACATTCAAATAACTGGAAGTTGATCATATATTTAATATATAGATATTTTATCTGTGTAGGTTAGAATGATTCGAGTGTCGAAAATGTCTTGAAATCATACGTAATGTAGTTGTTGATGTTGTTGATGTAGAAATAGTTGATGTAGTTGAAGGCTTAATTAAAGCAATTAGTAATGTGGCAATACTAGCACCGATTAAGAGAGCAGCAAGTAATGACAATAATATACAGACAGGTGTGCATGAACAACAACAGCAATAACCGCCAAGACATCTGTACAAAATGAGACAGAAATCAAACAAAAAAAAAACAAACTTAGATTACTTTCCATTTTTCTTTTATTTTTTATTAGGTTCATTTATAGAGCTTCCTTGACAGAAGTAAAAAAAAACATCTTTTTCTTTCTCATACAGAGATTGAGAGTTTAAAAAAATAGAACAAAGTGACACGACTTACCACAGAATCACTGCGTGTACCTATTCGACTGAAGTCATTATTGAATAAATTCTAAAACGTGAAATTATCATAACTATTCAATTTAAGTGTCAGATTACCGAAAACTGAGAATGGTTCTGTCTTTCTAATGAATATTTTTCAGTAACTGCCGATGTTTTGTCATTATATTTTTGGTACTTGGTTGCTCCATGACCTGTTTTCGACGAGCAACTATTTTGTTCTGTTGAATCTTCATGCAAAAATTCGTTTTTGAGTAAACCACCAGATAACTGACATAAGAAATATATAGAGTGAGACTATTGGAAAAGACTTTTAGCATTGATTTTGGTATAAGATTAGAAAGAATTATCTGTATGAGATTCTATCTTTCAAAGATCTTTTAATATATGCTGTCTTCCGAAATAATAAATATTAGAAAGAGATTGAAATGATCCAGAACATGAAACACTATATCCAGTTAAACTCATGTATGTAATATCTTTATTTGACCTGTTTTAGAGAATGACTTTGTTGTTCATATTCATTACTATGAAATGAATGTGTTTCAATCTTAATTGAATCAATAAAATATTGATTGTCAATAGATTTTATCGATTGAATTCGACGAGATCGAGCAGCTAAGATAGACGAACTCTATATCAACACTAATGAATATCAACGAAAGAAAAATTGAAATTTGCAAGAAACTGACTAAATTTAATTTATTCTTCGTGTCATTTAATTTGTTCTTTATTGGATGCACACTATTTATTAATAATCGAATTGTAACATGAATCATGCGTTTTGAATTATTTTCTTTTTCTGATGAATGATGAGGCTATATTAAAATTATGAATGATATTATGATCAAAAACAAAAACCATTCACTTGAATTCGAGATGATCGATGACGAGATGAACAAGAAAATTTCTTGACATGTCGTATAAATAAAGAAGATTGAGATGAAATACTGTTTTTCATTGTCAATAAAGAAAGTGATCTTAGACAACGATTAACTCCAGTCTTTGGTACACAAATTTGTTCTTCAATAATTGCCATATTATGATTATTACAGACAGATGAAACACAGAATACAATGAATTGTTTAGTATATGATTGTTTGAAGCTTATATAATTCATAGAATATTTTATTCAAACAATCTTCGATCGGTGTGTGGGTGTGGATGTTAGTGTTCTTCATTCACGCTTATATCCATACCCAGACTCACACACCCATACCATTAAAGCTCCGATACCCGAAAAGTCTCAGAGTAGGTTCTGATAAGCATCTGTACGTCGTTGATCAAGGGTGCCATCGTGTGCAAAAGTTTCTCATGAATTAGATGATAGTTTTATGATCAGAGTGAATTAGAACTTGCTATAATCTGACATCGATTTGAACTGACTGTCTGCAGTAATTTGATTGGAATTCGTACAATTAACAAACTTTTCAATTATCCATTTATTCTAAATTTAATAAACTATTTATCGACTTCACAAGATAATCATATTTACTGCCACTGGACCTTCTTCGAACAAGAAAGGAGGTGGGCTGGACAATATCCCCAAACGTCGCGAAACGGTTTCACTTATAACAAAAATCTTTTAGAGCAAGAGTG